TTGTTCCACCGGTTTAAATCAAAATCGTAAGAGACACCTGAGCTCAGTCCAGAGCACACCAGTGGAGAGTGATTTCTATAGAAAGCATGTTATAAACAGCGCAGAGGGGGACTGCAAATCTTGTCATTGACACAACAGTCTGAGCGAGCGTGTGGCTGCGGATGTGTGTGCACGCCTGCCAGCTCCCAGTCTAGCGCTATTGTCTAACAAGGTCTAATTAGCACTATGGCACAATGAATTAGCATAATTATGCAAACAGGGCTGCGCTAAAGGCCTGGCACAAGGGAAGGCTACAGGGGGGCACCTATTACAACACGCATTCAAATGTGCACAGACACACACACAATCACTTTGACACTAGTGCAACATATTGTATTAAAAAACACGCGGCAATGACAAAATTCCCAAGTTACAAAAATACGAGTAAAAACTTGCTAAAACAATAAAAAGGATTTTTTTTTTTAAAACATTGTTATCCACTGCATGATGTTTTTTTTTTTTTTTATCATTGTAGACTGATACCCCTCCCATTATTATAAATTATAAATCCATCCACCTGCCAGAAACAGTTTCCATACCTCCACAAACATGAGCTATACACAGAAATGATCAGCGCCCCGCCACGCTGCCTACAGTACTCAGCAGTCAGGGCTTATAGTATTTACCAGCGGGGGTGATAGGTGAAGTCGGTGGGAGATAATAGGGATGACTGAGAGGCTGAAAGGCTGGTAACCATTCGCATGATGACAGATGTGTTGAAGAAGGCTCTATTAGACTTCATTAGGATGCTTGGCTTTTGATTACAAGCCACGTTTTCAGCCTTCTAGAGGAACATTTAGTCGTCATCATTTCCAGCACGTTTCTAACAATCATCAAAATGACTACTTGACTAACTGCGTTTACTCAAACTTCAACCTTAAACTGCATCTTTCATTCACTTTCAACTAAAACTTCACCCTAAATCTTTTGACTGACGGTAGTCCCTCGCTACTTTGTGGTTCGTTTATCGCGGACTCGCTCTATCGTGGTTTTGCAAAATAAGAGTGGACATGACACACAAATTGGCTGATTGATGGATGAGCCGCACGATCGGCATGGAATTTTTATTTAAAATAAATGATTTAAAATTATTTAGCACCTGTTGCATATTTGTGCAGCCCAGAGATGCAGAAAAAGCTTCGTCCTGCAGCTTTGTGCAGCCCATACTGCAGGATAAACTTCCTGCTGCAGCTGATCAGCTGTTCAATGTGCAGAGTGGAGAAGTGGGCGTGGCCAAGAGTGCTTGCAGGTGACAGAGCAGCGGAGGCAGGGAGCTGAAATCATGACATTCTGGACTCTTTTAGAGAGTTTAGAGCAGGGCTATTCAACTGGCAGCCTGTGGGCCATTTCCAGACTTCAATCCGGCTCACTTCATAAAAAAAATAATTAATTTTTTTTAAGGGGGGGGGGGGGTGTTTCTGGGTTTGGGTTCTGGTTTTATTGCATTTATGATTCAGTGCCATAAAATAAACAAATTTAAAAGATAACGGATCATTTTAAACTTTGGTTTATTTATATAATGATTTTAATCCCTGGATGTCCAGCCCCCGAGCCGTTGGCTTTCAGAAACTGCAGCCCCCTGAGCGGTTTTATTGAATAGGCCTGGTTTAGAGTTTAGAAACATTGTTTAGAATACTGCAAGAGTGTGGGAAGGGTTTAAAATGCCAAAACCCTCTCAATTACCCATCCACACAGTCTGTGACGCATTTGGGTCACTCCACCCCAAGGGACCGGTATTGCATCCTCAAATCCTGACCCCTTAACAGGGAACAAGCACTTCTAAAAACCCCAAAGATGCGTGCACAAAGCTTTCCTGCAATTACAAGTTCCCGCCGTCAACTCAAAAACTGAGAAGGTCACAAGTTCAGAGTTCAATTAGTTCGAAGTGATGACCTCTAATATGACAGAGGTTCAGTCATTTATTAGTGAGACATAACGAGCTACAAATGTAACTGCCATTTCATGACCTCTGTGTGGCCACAAGGAGGGGGGCGTTCTAGAAGAATGCTTTTAAAAGTGCAAACATGGATGACAGTCACCTTTGACCTATAAAGAATCCCTCCTGTAACACACCTGAGTGACCCCAGAATCAGATTTCATGATGCTCTGGTAAATGTTTTGATTCTACATAAAAAGTCGATACAAAGACTTAATGTATTCTACTTTATGTTCATTTCTTTAGTCGAAATATTTTTTTTATAATGTTTCATAAAGTAGTGTTGTAATACTGTACTGGCTGTATCAGAATTTTAAATTGGGAATATGTGACCTATTCAAAAGGTACGTTTTCCAAGTCCAGACTATGATGTCAGTCTGAAGACAGATTCTCCATTTCCTAAAATCCTTATTGAGATGCCTGTCTGCTCCCCACTTCTTATAACAAAACCGTTGACTCTGGCTTATCTTCACTTTTAAGAAACAACATATTGTTCACGTACGTGCACACTTGTGGAACAAACACAATGGCAGGAGAGGGGGGTCATGCTGTGAGGGGGTAGCACTTTTAAGCTGAATCCACACATTTTGGATGTGGTGGGTTAATCCGGCCAGGCTTTTTAGCCCGCTATTCAGAAGGACAAGGACCCCAAGGATTTGGGCTTGTCCACACCTCAGGGGTAGGGGATTATCAAGACAGCAGGAAAGGTGGAGAGCGTACGAGGGCGGGTGATTGGAAAATGTGGTTATTAGCATGGTAGCAGCAGTGGATTATTACAAGTGTACCTACCTGTATATATTTGAAAGAGCAAACATAAAAGTGTATGTTTGTGGATTAAGCAAGGTTTCTGTCTGACTCCCACCCCCAAAAACATACCCCAGAGCCCTGACAGGGTCACCTCTGGGCCTTTCAGAGCCTCCTCTCAACCAATCCTAATTGATCTCACGCATTACTAGTCCCAAACATGAGACGGAGAACAGGAGGGAAATGGTTGCCCCATTGTTTGAGGAACGAGGTCTTTTTGCTATAGTGGCTTTACACTCCTTACACACACACATGCACACATACACACACGTTCCACCTCTGGCATGCCCACCCACCTTCTCCCCCTATTCTCCTCTCCCTTCCTCTATGCTCTCATCTCCGGCTGTGCTAATCCATTGGCCAAGTCAGGAACTCTGTTACCCATCTGGCCAAGCATGACTCCAGCTGAGAGGGACGGAGGGGTGGAGAGAAAAATGAGGGACGCTATGGAGAGGGATTGTAAATTGAGAAAGAGGGAATGTGAAAGGGGGGTGCGGTTGTCATTATGTCTCGATTGGAACCAAGGACATCTTTATAATAATTATTACTATGTAGATAGGTAAACACATGCGTAAGAGCATCAATGAAGTATCCACAAATCAAAGGCAATTGTAAAGAGCACAAAGTTGACACAAGGATTTTTTTTTTTTAATGCCTGCAACTTTTTGCAAAGAAAGGAGATTGTCCATTCTAGGAGGTAAAATATTTAAATGCCACTAATCTCTGCTATAAATTATAGCATTTGATTACATCAACAACAAGAAAAAAGCCAGCTTTCCTGTTGTTCATCCCTGACTTATTCTGAAACCGCCTGGCTGCTCTCACCAACCCCTGACATTTTCTATCATTTAAGGTCAGCTGTGGCTGAGTGGTTAGAGCAGTCGTCCTCCAATGGAAGAGCTGGGGGTTCGATTCCACCAGCAGTCACATGCTGACGTGTCCCTGGGCAAGACACTGAACCCCTCATTGCCTCCGATGTGTGTTTCATTGGTGTATGAATGTGATAAAGCTCTGATTAGTCTTTGTATAGAAATAGTAGAGTGCTGTATGAATGGGTAAATGAGGACACAGATTGTAGAGTAAAGCCTTTTGAGTATCTTAATAAGATAGAAAGTTGCTAAATAACTACAGTCCATTTACCATATCCTGAAGATGGACAAACACAGAGTGCAACACATAATGACTTAAAACAGAATACTAAATATTTTAATGCTTTAGGATTATAGAACTAAATATATTTTTATTGTTTTCTGTGTTTTTATTATTGTTTAAGCATAAATATCTTTGTAGCTTCTAACAATCTTTTGCATTATTGTCTTATTAATTTATTTTGCAGTAAAGAACGCAAATTTCCGAAATTCAGGTCACATATTAGGCAAAATATATTGTGAATATAATGACATAAAACGGTGACCTAATAAGAATATTTAACTTATAGTAATCCTTTGAAATCTAAAAAAAAAAAAAAAAAACACAGACTGTGACTGTTGCTGTCTGTAAACAAGTAGCCATGCACATATGAACTGATTCATTGTGATAAATACAAAACTACAGAAATATTTACAGCACAGAGTGTAATGCTTCAAAAAATACTTTTTAAAATTAAAATTACACTTCCCATTTAAACCAAGTGAAATATCTTTTTTTTTATTTTCACCCAAACCACTCTTGCCATCGACTTACAATGCTGCAACCTACTTTCTGTTTTTTTAGGCACATTTAAAGGTATTTGGTCAGAAATGGTACATAAAAACTGCTAAAAACCCACACAATATAACACACTTTCCCTAAACCAATCCTCTAACAGCATAAACTATAACTTTGTTGTGCATGTCATGCAGGGCTTAATTTGTAAACCGATCGTTGCCAGAACACAAATACCAAGCGGACCGGCTGGTGGCGGTGGGGGGTCCTGGGGAACGCACCCTGACAGAATGAGAGAGTTCCCGGATCTTGTTCTGGCGAGATCCGTTTCAAATGAAGCATAACCATTTGATTGAGATACACGAGTAGAGAATTGTAACAGTGAACGAGGACAAGACAACAATGCAGCACTAATACTTGTAAGCTTGTGAACAACACAATTGTATCAGTGTGCATGTGTTTCAATATTAATAAAAAAACAGAGAGAAATATGAGTAAAACAAAAGCATTGAAATACTGGCATGAATACGCTAAGAAAACGACACCTTCATAATAGTACAATAAAATATGCACTTACAGACATTTCCAGTGTTGTCAAAGCTGTTGAGTACTTCATTAACTCTAAGAGGTCCCAGGTTCTCCCTGAGAAATGCAAACATATAGATAAATATACTGTTTTCTGCACGAGTACTGGTCAAAACATGGCTCCATCAAACACAGATTGGCTCTTATCTAATATTCAAGTTGCAAACAAATTATCTTTACATGTGCTATATTTCTACAATATAAAATATCATTAATGTAAAATATAAACTATTAAATACTTTAAAAATCTTCTATTTTTTTCTTCAAATTTTCTTTTAGATTTTATCTATAAAAGCAAAAACTTTTGAAAGACATTTAAAGCATACGCCTTAACATTTTATGCAGTGGAGCTGCTACAGCATCAACTACAAAATTAAGATAAGGTATATTTGAAATTTTGATCAAAAAGCAACAAGCTGAAATCATTTTCAGTTAGATTTTTTTTTTTTCTCAGTGATTTTGTGACGTGACAAATTTACACTATGTGTGAGAAACTTTTTTGAAGCATATACCTGAGGAAGGCACTGTACTCTGGAAAGTAGACACTTTTGTACTCCACCCACTGGTCATCTGAGGTATTACTGTGTTCACAAAGTGTTTTCCTGATGAAAAGGTCAAAGGTGGCGAATCTGCGAACAGACACCTCTTTAACCTCTGGACCATCTGTCTCCTTCTGATGCAACACCTGTGAGAGAAACAAGAGGAGTGGAAGAATTTTAGGATGATAGACAAATCTCATTCATTCGTCCTAATCTGTGACGCATGCAGAATTGATGGGTCATGTTTTATGAAGAAGAGTGTTTTATGAATACTAATATACAACACAGATCGTCAAGACTTTCAGCTAGTTTTACATTGGTTTTGGAAGAATACATTAATCACTATATGCAGTCATAGTCTACGAGCCCAGTCAGTTTGCCTCTTTTGACCCTAATCAGCATCTTCTCTCCATCATAAAGCTGAATTAATGACATGTTTAATTACCACAACAAGCCATCTGTACTAATCTAAAATGTCTTCTTGAGTCTGGTGTTTTTATCTGCTATTACTGCTTCTGAAAGTCCTTCTATTCTTCTTGTTATTCTGCTGTGACTTTATACCTTAGTAGCAAAGTTGCTTGCTTTTCAAAAGGACAATGGACACTTCTAAAATATATATATATGTATCATTTGGAAACCAATCAAACAACATGATAAATAATCGGTCTACATTTTTAGTTCCAATAGATTTTAAAATGGTGCATGTTTCAGCCAGCAGTGTTGCTTAAAGCGTTATACCTGTCTCAGAAGAGTCCATCTGGCCCGGGCAACACGAGTAGCAACACAGGTTCCTCCCCGGGAGGTGCGGGTTTTAGCTGCGCAGGGGTCTTCATTTTTGTTGGCTGTACACGATGAAACCGGCTCGGTTTTCTCTGCTGAGCCGGTGGAGTCTCTCTCCATCTTATTACCGTCGAAAAATCCTTGTCGGATAAATCTGTGAGCAGACTTCACACTAAATATTTGTCACAGTTGATATTAATGACAAGGGTACTATGTAGAAAAAAGCATGGCTTCTTGTAAAATGTAACAAATTATAAAAGATCACAGACATGGCTCTACTGAAATCACCTGTTACATTTTACTTCCGTACACGCTTGCCAATCCAGCCATAAAAGTAGATCACTGAAGCTATCGTTCTCGATTTGTCAGTTCTAACTGTGAGCTCGGCTCCGTTGAGTTCGATTAGCTTAGCCTGGCTAGTCTCCCTACGTCACCAAGCTGGCTTTGTTTAGGAAGTTGAATGCACGTGCCTAGAAATGTTACCGTTTCAAGTTGATTTACGACGAAATAGTAAATGTTAACGTCCTAAATGCATATTTTTTTAACCGTATACGGCGCTTTTATCTACGTAAATATCACATACAGCTGCTGATAGTAACGGATAGCTAAATAGCACCACCTAAACACAGCTGTAATGGTGAAACCTTCTAAATGTTTTTGTCTCCGTGTTCCTCTGCTTGTCTCCGTTCACTTTCTCGGGTAAAGTTCTGTAAGCTTCCAGTGTCCAAACGGTTACGGCTGTCCTTGTCTGCCCAGCGTTGTTGCACGTCGGTAAGGGTGTTCAGTAAATGTTAAAGATGCTTCTTGTTTTCACCTTTGGCTTGGTGTTCGGTTTCTATCCGTTAAATTGTCGAGAACGGTTTCTTTAGGTTATAGGGCTGAACGTGACCTCAGTGTCCAAACGCCTATTTACATTGTTATAATTCCAACTGAACGATACCACAGCAGCTTTACCATAATCTTTTTGTGTTATGCTATTTCTTACAAGATATGCAAACTATAAAAGTGGATATAAAGATATGAAAACTTCATATTAGGTATATATGATTTGAGAAGTTGCCACTTTTATGTTCTTGGCAATAAAATAGACAAGTATGAATTTCTGTTTGGGTCATTTTGGTGCAGAAAACATTTATTTATACATTGATTGCTTTTTTTTTTTTTTTAGCTTTAATCCAGTGGCATCTTTCCACAATTATTATAAAGTTGTTTTTTGTTTTTCAGGAAACCTCTGATTCGCCAACAGGTCGTCTCCGCTCGGTCACAGACAAGTACAAGAACTTGCAGGAGTATTTCATCAGGAGACTGAAGGCAGTGTATTCTAGGTTTTCCAATACACCTGATCATTCTGTGGTGAGATCTGTTTTCTGCTCATGGTTTTTTGAGCATAAACTCAGCATAGTTAGGTTAAATAATTATATTACAGTTTTTAACATTTTTGATTGCGCTCTAAGTTCATCAGTTCCCTGTTGACTTGTTGTAAAACATCAAAATGTGTTTATTGTCTGTTATAATAATCAATGTGGCGTCAGAAGCGCAGTATTTGAATATTTGTGTGGGATTACAAGTGGAATTTGACATCTCCTGTGCATCCATCTATCTGGATTTGGAACACTTCACTTTATTGAAAATTGATTATATTTTTTCACAGGTGCATGGGCATAATCACATTTACTTCATCCGAGATGATGGCATCTACAGAACAAACAAACGAGATGGTAAGAACTAAACATGGTTTTAGTTTAGTGGATAATCTTATCAACTGATTAAACCAGAAACTCGGCAGCAGAAAACTTTTAAAGCTTACCCTTCTATAAAACAAGATTATGGAACTATCTTAAAAGTATACCTATATGTTTATGTGTTTCCATGTCCTTCAACTTTTTTGGAAAACTACCAGTAATATTTTGCATTCGCCATATTAGCAGGTGAACTGGAGCCTGAGCATGTGGTGAACCTGGAACAAGCTTGTAGAGACGAAGAGAAGACAAAACCTGAGAATGAAGAACGATCTCAGTGGACAATCCAGAGAATACGTCTGTCTCCGCATGAGAAGCATCTCGCCGCCACGCTAAAATGTAGTCACAAAGAAGAGCTAAGGTAAATTAAACATAAATAGTTTAACCTTTTGTGTGCTTTGTATTAACAGTTTGAGTGAAATATCTTGTTTTTTTTATTATGATAAACAAGGTGTGTGGTTGTGCGACTTGGAGAGAAAAAACTGTCCCGTTTGAATCTACACATCCTACTCAAGCTAGAGAGAGTCCTCAGCTTTGGTAAACTGTTGCTTAATTTGTTTGAATAATTTGGAAAAAGTTGTGCTACAGGTGACAGAGTCTGACTGAAATAGAAGGTTCTTGTTTGCATGAGTGAAGAGTGGGCCTCGGATGATGTCCTGTTTTACACAACACTGGAAGGCCTACGCTCCAGCGCGGTGTTTCGTCTGGACCTGACCTCCAGTGGAAGTAAAATAACGTGTGTGTATGAGGAAGCTCAGCCTGAGTAAGTGCACAATGTGTGGCACGTACACAGTCTCTACTACTAAATAACGTGTAAAATGTATTCAACTTCCCCACTTCTCCCAGTGTGTTTGTTGAGGTTGCCCAGTCAAGAGACCGACAAATCCTGACCATCAACAGCAACAGCAGAACCAGTTCAGAGGTGCTACTAATCGATGGAGCAACTTCCCAGTTAAAGCCTTTTCTGGTTCAGTCTCGCCAGCTGGACCTCCTGTACCATGTGGAGCACTGGAAAGGTCACCTTATTATACTGGCAAACACGGGGCCAGAACAAGAATATCAGGTAGAGTTTGTACAGCGCACAATCAAGGTGCATAAATTAAATCAAAACCATGTCAACTTTGTTGCATTAAATTGCTTGATGTAGAAAATTGCTCCTGAGGTCATAATTGTCTGTACGAGCTTTTCACGCTGATGTATACCCAGGAAATTATTGTTTCTGCTAACCTCTTTTTGCATCAAAGAGTTACCTATGAAATAATAAAATTTTTTTACTATTATTTACTTTGGTGCCCTGCAATTTTTCTTCATCGACAATTTGCTGTGATTTTTTTTAAAATAAAATATTAAATTAATTCAAACATTGAACAATCTAATGATACATTCTAGTTTAAACTTTTTCTGAGCAAAAGGCTTTATTCTTTCATATTTATCAGGTGGTGCAGACTCCCCTCTCTGAGCCGTCCATGGCGTCGTGGCTGTCTTTGTATACTCCTGATCCTGGTTATACAGTCAAAGACATGGATGTGGTCGGAGACCATTGTGTGCTGCTTGTAAGAACGCCAGCGAGTGAACTCGCTCTGATTGTGGTTTCACTGACTCGTCCCAAACACCCAAAGATTATAAAGGTCAGTATGACAGAGTCAAGGATTAATTAGAGGTAAAACTCCGTTTGGACTTGCTTATTTGTTGCCTTGTCATCATCAGTCTTGTATTTGCCTTTTGCTTACTCTTCGTCTTCATTTTCGGATGTTTTATTGCTTTCTGTTTTGGATCTTGGTTATAAAGTCTCATGTTTTTATTCTATATTTGTACCCAAGCTCCCCACCTGGGCTTTTGCCATCGAAACCAAGAAACCAGGCTTGGCAGACCATCAAGATGAGTTCGAATTCCTCCTATCATCTCCAGTCCAACCACCTGCGCCATACACTTTATATCCCAAGAAAGGGCTTCTTTTATCAGGCACTGGTAATGTTTCCTCTCCAGAGAACCGAGCCAAGTATGTCACAACACGTTTGGAAGCCTGCAGCCAAGTAAGAACATTTGATGAGCCTTATCAGCAGCAACATAAACATTCTGTAGTTTAAAAAAACATGTCTACTGATAATTTTTATTGGAATTTGACCAGCAACACCCCCTGAACAGAAGGGCAAGTGATGACTGCACGCAACCAATTTTAGGCTTGATGTTGAGGTAATTTAAAATAAAGTTAAATACTCCATTCTTCAACATGTTCTCCCTGCATCCAGGATGGTACCTTGGTGCCAGTGACACTGTTCCATGCAGTGCCTATGGAGAGTCTGAGCCAAGTGCCTTTGCTCGTCCATGTGTACGGAGCCTATGGTAGAGATCTCTGCATGGACTTCTGCCCTGTAAGAAGAATGCTGTTGGAGGAGGGCTGGGCACTGGCTTACTGTCACATCAGGTACTGCTTTAAAAGTATTTTGATTTACGCTGTTTTTTTTTTTTTTTTTTTTTTTTTTACTGATAGCAGTTAGTTACCATGCTTATAAAATACCTCAAATATTTTAGTGCATATATTCCAAGAAATTTAATAATTTTTTCAGTTTCCTCTGTTTTTCTTTAAATCCTAATTTGTGTTTAGGAGCATTTTGGCAAATTAATCTACTCAAATCTTAAAATCGACATCCTCCCTGACTGTTTGGAGCTGCAGGGCTGTAAACTGACATTCAACAGCAAAACAATGACATACACTTTTAATTTTCTATTTATCCATTATCGTTTACCTGCTTTTTGTGTTGCGGGGGGTCACTGGTGCCCATGTCCTGCAGTCACTGCGCAAGAGCCGGGGCATACCCTGGACAGGTCGAAAGTCCATCACTGGGACACATGGAGAACCATTCAGTCTCTCACTCACACCTAGAGACAATTTAGAGTTACCTATCAGCCTAGCATGCATGTTTTTGGTTTGTGGGAGGAAACTGGAGTACCCGGGGAAAACCCACGCATGCACGGAGAGAACATGCAAACTCCACCCAGACCGTCCAGGATTTGAGCCGGGGCGACCTGCTAGTTTTACCATCTGTCCATTATGTTTTTAAGGCTATGCAGAGGTGTGGATGGTTTATATTGGAACATTGTAATCTGACTGTTGTGAAACAACCAATAGCACTTTTGTGCCTCTTTTTCACAACCAAACTACTTGACATCAAACTGATTTCAGCTATTTATAATGGCAATTTACCATGAGAGGAGTAAAACGAGTAAAATACCACATGTACACTTGAAGTACCTGGCCAGTCAAAAATGTGCAGCATTGCAAACCTTCCTAATGTAATCCATGTACTCTTAAAAGCTGTGGGGTTTTTTGTTTTGTTTTGTTTTTTGTAATTTGCTGCAGGAAAATGTACTAAAGTCATGACTAATAATACAATTAAAAGTTCTCACTTCATGTGTTGATGTGAACATACGTTTTGCTTTTTACACTCTGTAGAGGTGGAGGAGAGCGTGGCCTTTCCTGGCAAAGACAGGCTCGAGTGGAAGGGAAGGAGAGGGAAGTAGAGGACCTCCAAGCCTGTCTCCATCACCTTTTCTCTTTAGGAATCTCTTTTCCTTCACTCACTGCCCTTACAGCCTGCAGTGCTGGAGCTGTGCCAGTGGGAGCACTATGCAACAAAAACCCGAACTTGATGCGGGCTGTAACGCTGCAAGTAAGATGTTAAATGTCAAGAAGTTTCTTTTTTTGTGTGTGTGATAGCTTATATCTTTTTAAACTGTGTGTGGATGGAATATTGTAGCCTGTGTTCCTCAGAGGCAGATAATTAAATTAAAATATGAAAAGGTATACTACAAATTGAACATCTTAAATCGGTTGCATTACAGGTTTTTATTGTGAAAGAAAGCATCCACACTTATTCGAAGCATTTCACTTCTGTGTGCAGGCTCCTTTTCTGGATGTGTTGGGAACTATGGAGAATCCCAGTCTTCCTCTGACTTTGGAGGATAGAGATGAATGGGGGGACCCTGTGGGGAACTTGAAACACAAACATATCATTTCTTCCTACTGTCCCCTTCACAACATTAAATCTCAGGTATTCAGAGAAAGATGGAAAAAGTGAAGGGGAAATGTTGCTGCTGTTATTTATGTGAATGACAGTGTAAAAGTGAAGAACATTTTGCTTATTTTTAAACCATTGAAGGCCTTTTAAAGTAGAACCGAGATAATGTGTTTTTGATTTTGTGCTTGTGGGAGACAGCAGTATCCATCGATGTTGCTGACAGCCTACAGCGGTGACCCCAGAGTTCCCCTGGAGGGTGTCCTCAAATACACTGAGCGTCTTAAAGAAGCCATTCATGCACACTTCAGCATGAAACCTGAAACAGGTACTTCCACACATACACAACACGTTTGTCATTTTCATTCATAAGCCAGAATACTAAAGCCTTTAATGTTTTATGCTGTTATTTGGATGTTACTTTGATATATAACACACATTAAGAACATTGTTAGACCAAACACACACCATTGTGGCTTCCCAGTAGGACAATATGCCCACTGTGGCCAAAAAAAAAAAAAAAAAACAGTTTGAGAAACCTGCAACCCACAAAGCCCAGTGGATCTGTTGCAAATCTGTACAGAAACCAAAGAACATCAACAGGGGTCCAGTTCCCATACTCTGATAGTTCAGAACTGTTTATGTAACCCAGTTTGATATTGAAATTCCAAAATAACAAAGAACCTATTTGTAGGTACTGTAGCAGTCATGTTGTAACGGTAAAAAAAAAATCAAACACATATTTATTCATGTTTAAATGACCGAGAAATTTCTCAACAGGTTTAAATCTCTACAAAGTACTTCCTGCAATAATTTTTCATTGCAGGTGCACAAACCCAGTTTTAAGAAACATGATTTAATAAACATTTGCATAAACGTGTGTGGTCATAGGCTAAATCTGCAAATCAGTTTTTGAATACATGCAAGGAGCTGCATACCTGGAAATATTTAATCACATATTCTGTGGATTTTCTTTTACCTCACTGCAATAAATCGTAAATTTGTGAACCTTTTACAAGTTTTTAATTTGCTTTTCACTCAAAATGACAAAGTAGGTTGACCATGCCCTTCACATTTTTTTGCCATGTATTTTTATGAATGGTTGAGAAAAGATTTTTTTATATATCTGTAGAGTGTGTGATACTGATATACAATCAGCAAGATGCTTGTTTGTGCATCAGCTCTGAGAAATGTGTTGGCTACTGCTTTATTTCACTGTGTAACCGTGCTTTAGGTGAAATGATGGATTCCACAACTACCAATTGCACTGTCATATCTCTTTTTTTTTATCTAATAATTTCATAGGCTCAGACAACATTGACTGTTTTAATTTATGGCTGGTGGTTTTATATAGCCATTTCATGGACTACAGTTGTGTTCGGTGGTGTATAGAAGAATTTCTTTGTCTACAACATTCCCTTCTGAGCTCTTGTAGGGAAAAAAACCTTTAAATATATATATATATATATATATATATATATATATATATATAAAATTTTCTTCATTTTTTTTTTGTTTTGTGAAGAGCACTTAAGTTTGATGTCACATTGTAATAATTCCAAATTTGGGAATGGCAATTAGGAGACATTTCTACATTAAAAAATTGTTTGCACCCTTTTTTAAAAACAATTTTCTGCACCTTTGTTTGGATAAAGGTGTTTTCCTGGGTGCATGGCAGATGGGATTTCAAATTCCGCATAGATTTTTCTATTTGCTTTTAGGTGTTATTTCTGCTTCAACTGCGGTTTTATAGCATGGGATCATCTCCCAATAGCAGTGTCAATGTGAAGGTCAGGAGAGGCAGCAGTAATAGGTGTATGGGTGTCTGGGGATGTCTGTCCAAAGTGTAGCATTGGTCTCGTTGTGGTAAAGCCTGTGCATATGTCAGCTAATTGCTCTCATTTTCCCCAGACAGGCTCTTTCTCCCTCTCACTTATAATCTTCTTTCACCACGTTGGTGGTACTCCTTATTTACACCCCTTCTCTCTCTCTCACACGCGCACACCGCCTCCTCTCTTCCTGTTTCAAATGCACATATTATCTCTCTCCTTCACCATCTCACGCTCCTGTTGTTCATGCACACACCAAGCAGCTTTAGTGCCTGTGCATATGTGTCTCTAATCTGTCTCTCTCTCTGTTCTCCTGAGTCTTTGATAAAGTGCTGATGGCATAGACACATCCAGGCGGGTGGGCAGGCCCATTAGCATGGTAAAGAGATAGTGTATCAGAACAGGAGATTAGTCTCCACAGACTGGGAGCTGTCAAGGTCAAGACCACACTTGTGAAACAGTCAGTACCACAGGGAAAAGAAAGGTGGATAATTTAGAAAGGACAGTCAAAAGTAACCAAGATGCAGAGCATACAAGATAAATGTTTAACATAATATTTAAGTCTTTGTCTTTATTTCCCCTTTAGATTGTAAACAGACACCAAACATAGTTCTTAACCTCCAACCTGGAGTAAATCACCTCGGACCTGAAAATTTTGAGCAGATTCTGGAGGAGGTAAGAGACTGGGATGGTGTGGCTACATCTGAATGTTTCAATCCTACTTCTTTGTCTAAAAGAGTTTCCTTTTTAAAATGCTGCATTTTACGTTCAACCTAATAATGTTCTCACTTTTACATCAAAAATGAAATGTTGAACTGTTAAGATTGAAGCTTTGCTATGTCCTTTTTATGCTCTGTCTGATACAGGAGGCCCTCAAGCTTGCATTTCTTTACACAGAACTAAGTCTGGGCGGTCCACGGCCTCGACGCAAGAGGAAGAGATAGCATCGCTGCCAAGAGGCAAACATTTACATTTACAATTACAACTCAGATGACATCGATGGGCAAATCTTTAACAATACTCTTAAAGAAGAGAATATCACCAGCACACTGATCTGTAATTGTAGCCTTTCTTGTAGAACAGAACTCCCAAAGGAAGGAAACGCCAAAGGATGGTCTCATCATTTTTTAACTGTAAAATTTTAATATTTGCATTTTTTTTTTATTATTTACATCAACATTTATAAAGTATGCCAATGGTCTCCAAATAGCAGGCCTTCTCCGAGACGTAGCACTCTGCAGGATGGTTGAAATGAAACCGGGTGTAGGTTGAGTACTGAATCATCAAACCCTCTCCTGGGTCTGTCAGGATGCCAGACTTCTGAAAGACTTTTCCGTCGTTGACTGGCTTTGTGCTCATTAGCACTTTCAGCTTGTTGGGTAACTCCTGAACGGAGGATAAATCTGTGGTGGCAGATTCTTTACCAAAGTTGATCACCATCAGGTAAGCTTGTTTGTGTCCATCAAGCTCCCTGAGGTAAGAAAATACATTGGCGTCAGCGAAGATGTAACAGAACCATCCTCTCTGAAAGGGGAGCTCTGACTGATGTAGGCTGTTCAGAAAACGGTACTGGGATAATACAGAACCTTTATCCTCCATCTGGACCTAGAGGGAATGCAGTGGAAATAGGATATGTGATGAACAGAAATGTAAAGAGTGAGCTTGTATTTGATCTCTTAAATGTTGAACTAAAAGAGCTGTTTACCTCCACATTGACAGTTTTATAATTGGGATGTATGGGTAACCAGGTGGTGTTGGTTTTGTTGTTGAAGCCTGCATTCATGTCACTATTCCACTGCATTGGAGACCGCTCAGGGTCCCGACTGGCACTCTGTAGTAAAACAATTACATTATGTACAGCAAAAGAATACCAGTTGGGTGTCAATTGCAATTAGTTGGCAGTCAATCCTACTTTTATTATAGTTAAACTGATGATTTTTATAGTTGTGCAGACACAGTTTATGTTATGCCATCAAATAAATCTAGAATTTCATATATGTGTTTTTGTCTTTTTTTTTGTTTACTGACCACGTTGTATTTGCCAGCAGGATCTTGTATCTGACTTTGTGTGACATTAATGTTCTCCATGCCAATCTCTTCACCGTAATAGGTTGTGGGTGTGCCAGGGAGGGTCAGTAGCATCATGTTAATGGCTTTAACATAGATCTGGCCAGCACTGGACCCAATTCTTGACCTGTCGTGATTCCCAACCTGATGGAGTGAACAATGGAGTGAAGAAGAACACTAGATGAGTGAGAAAGAGTGCTGAAACCTTAAAACTAGGATTTTTATTTAGTGGTTTCATGATGGTGAGTAAAAACTTTGAAAGGCATCCATTTTTTTATTCTTAATTTTGAAGAATTAACAAGTAAATGTTCCGGATATGACTCACCACCCAGTTGGGCCATTTTCCTTGAGGCATGTTGGCCATCCAGAGGTCGACCAGATGTTTAGCCCACCAGCCGCTGGTATTGTGAGGCAGGTCCAGAAGGTAAAAGTTGAAGGGGAAGTCACTTTCTGTTATCAGGGGAGTACCATAGTACATCATGGTCTTCTCCACGTCCTGGTAATCGTATGACTCTGTCACCATGAATCTTTAAAACAATGGGAACATATCTAAAAAAGTTAAATCTGGTCCTCTGGACATTCAAAAAATGGGAACATAGGTCGTGTATCTTATACTAGATAGAATAAACTTTGAACAGATTTGGTGAATTAATGTAAATAATTGCCACTCGTCTTCTGTAATTTGAGGTAGAAAAATCAGAAATCATCTTAAGACTTATTTTGGCTTTTCCCTCCTCGGGTTGCCACAGCGAGTCGTCCTCCTCCATCTCTGTCCTTTGCATCCTCTGTCCTCGCGCCAACTACCTCCATGTCCTCTCTAACTGCATTCATATGTCTCCTCCTTGTCTTTTTCCTGGCAGCTGCATTTCTAACATCCTTCTACCAATATACCCACTGTCCCTCCTCTGGACATGTACAAACCATCTCAGTCTGGCCTCTTTATATCTCAGTTGTTCAACCTGTGCTGTACCTCTGATCTCACTCCTAATCTTATCCATCCTAGTCACTCCTAAGGAGAACCTCAACATCTTCATTTCTGCCACTTCCAGTTCTTTCTCCTGTCTTTTTGTCAATGCCACTGTCTCCAAACCAAACGAGCTTTCCAAACTTCCATCCATTCATTATCTTTTACCCGCTTCTTCCTTTTTGGGTCACGGGGGTCACTGGTGCCCATATTCAGCAATCGCTGTGCGAAAGGCAGGGTGCACAGTGGACAGTTTGCAAATCCATCACAGGGCCTTTCCAAACTTCACCCTCACTAATCTTTCCCATTCCTGGTCCACAGCTTCTATGGCCTCCACTCTTCTTTCCCTTTCATTCTCTTCATTCATTAGCTCCTCGAAGTACTCTTCCATCTTTTCGTCACACTCTCCTCACTTGTTAGAACATTACCATTCCTATCGTTAACAAGCCTAACCTGCTGCACGTCCTTTCCAGCCTGATCCCTCTGTTTTGCTAATCAATACAAGTCCTTCTCACCTTCTTTAGTGTCCAGCCTCCCATACAACTCATACACCTGCTTTGCCTTGGCTACCTCCCTCTTTGCTTTACATTACATCTCCTTATATTCCTGTCTCCTCTTTTCAGTCCCCTCATTGTCATAGTTCTTCTTGCTAACCTCTTTCTTTGAATAGCTTCCTGCACTTCACTATTCCACCACCAGGTTTCCTTATCATCCATTCTTTGTCCAGATGACACACTAAGTAGCTTCCTACTTGTCTCTAATTACTGTTGCTGTTGTAGCCAAATCATCTGGAAGCTGTTTATTACCACCCAGAGCCTTTAACAGCTCCTCTTTGAACTCCTCACAACATTCTTCTTTCCTCAGCTTCCATCATTTGGTATTCTTCACAACAGTCATTCTACACACAACCATCTGATGCTGTCTGGCCACGCTGTCCCCTACCACAACTTTACAGTCCCCAATCTGCCTCAGGTTTCCTCTTCTACACAGAATGTAGTTGACCTGCGTACTCCTAGCTGCCTCCATTCTTATGTTCCTCCCTCTTTTGGAAATAAGTGTTGACTACAGTAATTTCCATTCTCTTGGCAAAATCCACCTCCATCTGTCCTTCCTGGTTTCTTTTCTTGACACCACACCTACTCATCACTTCCTCATCCCCACTGTTTCCTTCACCAATATGTCCATTCAGGTCTGCTCTGATCACCACTCTCTCCTCCCTTCGGATACTCTATCACTTCAAAATCCTTCCAAAGTTGATCTTTCTCCTCTACATCACATCCAACCTATGGAGCATAACCACTGACAACATTAAGCATCTGACCTTCTACTTCTACCTTCAGACAAATCACCTGATCCAACAGTCTAATCTCTTATACATTTTCTAACTCCTCCTTCAGAGGACCACCCCTACTCCATTTCTCTTTCTATCCACACCATGGTAAACCGTTCAAACCCTTCTCCAATGCTGTGAGCACTTGCTGACCTTCCACTTGGTCTCTTAGACACATAAAACATTTACCTTCCTTCTCTGCATCATGTCAGCCATGTCTACCTCTGCCTGTCATTGTCCCCACATTTAGAGTTGCAACCCTCAGTCCTACATTCTTGACTTTCTGTTCTTCATCTTAAATCATCTTAAGACAAAGGTTAAGTTATTTCCAAATATGTTTTTGTACTTAGTTATGTTGGTATAAGTTATGTAATGAGGCCCATACATCTGAGAGAACACGTCAAATGCACATGGTTGCATAAAATTAGTTTCATAGATGAACATAGATGAACAATAAGATAGGAGTATTTCCCCCCGGTATGTCAGAGGATCAGTATTGCATGTTTTCTGAGTAGCTGAAATACCTGTATTTGCCAGGCTCGTGGCTGTAGGTGTCCATCTCTGCTCTAAACTCTCTCAGCAGGTCATGTAAGCCCACCTGACTTGTTGTGTAATCATGATACAGGTCCCACTCTGTAGTTACCAACTCCTGAAATGAAATATTGGTCAGGTATTACTGAATTTCTTGGCCTCTTTAGCAAATATATTGTAATCAGCTTTTGTTTTTAGCAGACTCATTCACTGTGAAATTTTCATGTTGATGTAAAGTGGATTTGCTACAATTATTCTTGTCTACTGGAAGTTAGGAGATCTTGTCTTTAAATCTATTTTCTCAGGTCAGAGCACTGAGTCCAGTTACAGGTTGTGTTGGTGGAATGTAGAAAGAAACCATACAACACAAAGACGAGATGCCATTAGAGAAACCTTGGGTTAAAATCAGATTGTGCTGGTATCTGTGAAGAATTCTCAAATTAAAGTTTTGCTCCAATTTGATAACTTCTTGTACCAACTGTGAGAAAACGGGAATGAAGCATAAAAGAAAAACATGGAAACTAACCTGCTTCAACACTGAACGTTATCTACAGTTGATATGTCTTTCTGTTCAGAGGGAAAAACCTCTGACCTAACCACTAAGCTTATGTGCTGCCAAACAAGATTTAAAAAAAAAATACACTAAGCTAACCTCAAAGGAGTAATATTAATAGACACACAAACTGTAATTAAAAGCTTGAGATGTTTATTTTTTATGACAGTATTTGTACATCGCTAACAGCTAAAGGTATACCAAAAAAGAAAGCCTTATCTAAAAATGTAAAGAAAACAAAAACATGATCCTAAATCATAGGATGCCTTCGAGTTAAAAGTGCATGAGTCAGTCTCAGTATTATAGCCTTACTCTCTAGTGGTCAGTAAATCCCAGTGACTCTAATCCTTCAAAATATGCCTCTTTTCCACTAATCTTTTATTCTGCAGGGATGGGGTGAGGTTTAACTTCTGCAGAACAAAAAACCCTTTTCTTACCGATGTGTCATTAACTCTTTAAATTACAATTACAGTATTTTCTTAAGAAGGGCACAGGATGAACCTGACAATTTAGGCAAAGAGAAGCAGTGAACGGTGCATGATGTACAGTGAGAAACATCCCACTGTTTGTTCTAGCAGTTTCACTTCAGTCAGTGGAGGTGGTTTCTGCCCACACTGCTGTTTTTATGCATCACATTGTCCAAATCTGGACTCCATGTCACTTATGAGTCAATAAAATCTCATTCATGATTGTATAACAAGGTTATAGCAAAGATTGTTGAGTAAAATGAACTTTGAGCAGCTGAAGTTACTGTTCCAATTAAAAAGTAACAGGATAACTTAAACTTGACACCCAGCTGCTGATCTGTCATTCATAACTGATCCATTTAAACCAGAAAATCAGACTTTACTGTGAATTCCTGTGGAATCAGTAAAGTTCTATCTTATCTTAAGTGAGCAACTGTGGTGCAAAGAGGTAACACTTACTGGAGGTTTGTTTGGATCCACCTGTGGCTCGTCTCTCAGGTGTGTTGCTTCCAGGATGTGCTTCACTGCATCCATCCGAAACCCGTCTACTCCCTTCGCCAGCCAGAAACGAATAATATCCTAAAGGGAAATTATAAAAGTACTCAGCATCTACAATACATGAAAAACAGGATATATGGAGTTACAGTAAAATATCTCAATACTGTAGTGTGAATGTTTATGAAGATGCATTTTTCTTCCATACGTGTTTTGGCACGTAATGTCCCACAATTTTTTTTTTCTTGGTGCCAATTTGAGCTCCTTTCAGATTCTTTCAGCTATTTTCAGCTTATTTTTGCAGCTATTTTTCTTCTCCTTTCTGCATATTTTAGCTAATTTCAGCTTTTTATGCTCCTTTCAGCATCTTTCTGCTAAATTTAAGTTATTTATTTCTGCTTTTAAGTTACATTTTAGGTATTTCGCTGCTGATTTTTGCCATATTTCTGCTTTTTCTTTTGCTAATTTCAACATTTTGTGCCTCTTTCTAATAACTTCAATTTTTTTTTTTTTTTTTTTTTTTTTTTTCTTTTTTTTGTCTTTTTGTTTTTTTTTTTTTTTTTTTTTTTTATTCTTTTTTATAATTTTATATATAAATGGACAGATTTTGCTGAATTTAGTTTTTTTTTGCTCCTTTCAGACTCTTGGTCCTAATTGCAGTTTTTTTTCTTTTTCTGATGCTGTATATTTTTCGCTAAATTCAGCTTTTTCTGTCCATTTCAGTTTCTTTTTTGGTACTATAAGATTTTTTGTAATCTATTTAGCCTCGCTGCTTATTTCAGCGTATTCTGCTCATTTCTGCTCTGTACAGCTTTTTCTACATGTTTCTACCACTTTTGTACTGATTGTTCCACTTTTATTTTTCTTCTTTCGCAAATATCAGCTGTTAAAATTCCACTTGCATTAACAGTTTAGCAATGAAACCTTTTCAGCTTGGTTTCAACTTCTGCAGCAACTATCAGCAAAAATCATTTAGCAACAAATTCACAATGCATTTTCACAGGAATTGCAATTTCTCTAGCTTTGATCTGCTGAAGGTAATTTAACAAAACTTCATACAAATATGCATCAATACTAGTTGGAGCATCAAGTACACTTTTCATCACTCCAGCTCCAAGGTCACGGTCAAGGTCAAATCTTGTACAAGGTCTTTGCTCGTCTGGGCCATTGCTACAGATTGCTGTATGAGTTTGTCGACAGGTGTATAATGTGTCGTGTGCAGCACTCTCGTTAAGAAATGTCCGATTCAGAGGTACTCTTACAATGATCTCTTTGCGAACGTGCGAGTTCCTTAGGTTCAGGTCCGGTTGCTCTTTGAGGAACTGATGCAAGTAGCATTGTCCTCTCACTTCATCATAAGTCCATGATGAGTTTCCAAACACACTCACCTGCACGAAAAGAGGACAAATTCTTCTGATCTTTGTGCAAAAAGAAAACTTGTTCAGCTGTGAGAGATTCAAAATCAAATTCCAGGCCATCACGCCCGCACAAACCCAATTATTCGGCTTTGGATGCGTTTCGTTGCAGTCAGTCCAGACGTAGTAATCCTCGTACTGAGGGTCTCTAGTCCGGCTCCAGTTGAACCAACGGTGACGATCACTGGTGTGATTAGGAATGAAGTCCATGATTAGCTTCAAACCTGGTGGGATTATACACAATAATACCAAGGTGTTATAAAACTAACTCTGCTACTACAAAACGAGATGCTCCCACCCCCACATCCTTTAAACAACACACCTTTGTTGTGCATTGCAGTCAAAAGCTCTTCAAAGTCCTTCATGGTTCCAAACAGTGGGTCGACATCCTGGAAGTCCTCCACATCGTAGCCGAAGTCCTTCATGGGAGAGCGGTAGAACGGACTGATCCACACTGACTTGATGTTCAGGTGCAGGAAGTGGTCCAGCTTCTCTGTAATCCCTGCAGAAACACAGACGCCACATGCTGAAATGAACAATACTGTCGTTTGTAGAAATTTGTGTTTTAGCCACATATGGTGTTGAACTTTAAAAAAATAGTGAAAATGAAAAAAATATAACCTCAACAACCTGGTGCTTTTAATTTTAGACTAATTTTTATTCATTAAACGTGATCATAAGCAGCTTTTTTAAGACCTGACCATAAACAATGCATTAATTGGTAATACTTGTGGGATTTGGTCTTCAAATGTTAGGTATAAATTTATTGTTGATTGAAGTAAATGATTTACTCTAGTTTACTTTAAATCATTACATTTACAGCATAAAACTAAAAATAAGCAACTTGCAGTCTAAATATGGTTGTTATGACTAAAAAATGCTTTGTTTTTTGCAAAAGTACCAAAAATCTTTATAACTTGCTTCCAAAAAGCCAGACTTTCTTGTAATTTAGTAAAGCAGTCCTTTAGCTGTCCTCTTCCTTTTTTTAGACTTTGGCTGCCTTTACACTCATTTTCTGTCCAGTCCTTACATGACCAGGACAGCATATTGTGCAGTTTGTGCTACAAATTGAAGTGGACAAGTGGAGGACAGTCTTTTTAAAAAGCATGTCCAAACAAAAACATGTATGTTGGGCTGCCTTCAGGCCCAGCCATCCCTTGCAAAAGAGATCTGTGATCTCACTGGGATTTGCCTGGTTAATAAAGTTAATTTAAAAAAAAAAAAAACTCTCT